TAGGCTTGGCCAAGTGCAGTGGCTCATGCCTGTAATTCCAGCACTTTGGGAGGCAGAGGCAGGTGGACCACAAGGTCAGGAGTTCGAGACCAGCCTGGACAACATGGTGAAACCCTGTATACTAAAAAAAAAAAAATACAAAACAAAAACAAAAACAAAAACAAAAAACTCTAGGCTGAGGGACAGTGGCTCATGCCTGTAGGTCCAGCCCTTTGGGAAGGCAAGGCTGATGGATCGCTTGAGCTCAGCAATTCGAGACCAGCCTAGGCAACATAGTCAAACTCTGTTAGCCAGCCATGGTGAGGTGCACCTGTAGTTCCAGCTGCTCAGAAGGCTGAGGCAGGAGAATCACTTAAGCCCTGAAAGTCAAGGCTGCAATGAGCTGTGATCAGGCCACTGCACTCCAGCAAAGGTGACAGAGAAAGGCCCTATCTCAAAAAAACAAAAACGAAACCCTCCTTGTTCCAGGACACCACCCATTCTCCCCACTTTTTTTGTCCTAAATTGTCTTTGCTAGGGACTGAGGAGATGGAAGAACAAGATGAGCTTAGAGGAACCTCAATTCTGAAGTAGTGTCTAAGGCCTCTTTAGGCATATCCAAGGGCCTGTCTTTGAGGGAACGCTTTCTCAGCCCCAGTATCCTGTAAAATGTCCCATTTTCTGAATTTTGTTTTCTGATGGTTTTAGCTCATTCCTCTGTTTCACATATGTTCTATAAACAGGATGTTAGCTTGGATGGCTTGACTGTTTAGGTCTATCCAATTTCTTAGGCGGAAGGAAAGACCAGAAGCTACAGATACTAAGCAGTGGAAGGTCTGAAAAGGCATAAGACGGTTTCTCACTTGGCAAATCTGTGAGTGCAAATGAAACATTCTATTCACTTCATTCAGTTGCTTATTCCCAAGAGAAATGAGGAGAGGCTGAAATTTCTTTAACCAGCAGTTAGAAAGGATGAATAATTTTGAGGCAAACTAAAGTTAACAGTGAGTCAATTCTGAGGGCCCAATCAAAATAGGGAACCCAGCAGTGACTCTGGGAGGTTGCAAAACTGAAATCTGCTCACCAAGGTTATGCCTTGTGCCCCTTCCATATACTCCTGGCTGAGCCGTGTGCATTTATAACTTGTTGTCGGTTTCTTTAAAGACAGCGTCTCTATTCCACAGGCTGGAGTGCAGTGGCACAATCTCAGCTCACTGCAACCTCGACCTCCCAGGATCAAGCAATCCTCCCACCTCAGCCTTCCAAGTAGCTGGGACTACAGGCATGCAGCACCACACCCAGCTAATTTTTTTTGTATTTTTAGTCGAGACAGAGAGACAGGGTTTTGCCATGTTGCCCAGGCTGGTCTCGAACTACTAGGGCTCAAGGGATCTGCCCACCTCAGCTTCCCAAAGTGCTGGGATTATAGGCATGCACCACCACGCCTGGCCTTCTAACTTATTGTTGATATTAAATTTAACAACCAGCAGGACACGGTGGCTCACACCTATAATCTCAACACTTTGGGAGGCCAAGGTAGGTAGATCACTTGAAGGTCAGGAGTTCATGACCAGCCTGGCCAACATGGCAAAACTGTCTCTACTAAAATTACAAAAAATTAGCCAGGTGTAGTGGTGTATACCTGTAGTCCCAGCTATTTGGGTAGCCAAGGCACAAGAATTGCCTTCAATCTGGGAGGCAGAGGTTGCAGTGAGTTGCAATTGCACCACTGCACTCCAGCCTGGGTGATAGAGACTCTGTCTCACAAAAAAAAAAAAAAAAAAAAAAAAAAGAATTTAATAACTCACATGTATCTCAAACCTCAGCTTTTGTCATGACTTCCTCCAAAAAAAGCTGCCTCAATGCAACAGCATCTAGGTGTTCTTCAGCTTCTAAGTACTCCCTCATTCTCTGCTGGGAGCCATTAGCTTAGGTAGTCAAGAAATACTCTAGGCCGGGTGCAGTGGCTCATGCTTATAATCCTAGCACTTTGGGAAGCCGAGGTGGGCAGATCACTTGAGGTTAAGAGTTCAAGACCAGCCTGGCCAACAAAGGAAAATGCCATCTCTACCAAAAATACAAAAATTAGCCAAACGTGGTACGTGCCTGCAGTCTCAGCTACTCAGGAGGCCGAGGCAGGAGAATTGCTTGAGCCTGGGAGGCCGAAGTTGCAGTGAGCCAAGATCACGCCATTGCACTCTAGAGTGAGGTCCTGTCTCAAATAAATAAATAAATAAATACTCTAGAGTCTAAGGATTGTAATTTTTAAACTCAATATGGCTGCACATTGGAATCATCTGGAAAATGTTGGGGCTCAGAAAATCATACCCCAAATAGGGCACTTTGGCATGCTCAGTGCTTTGAATTAAAGAAAATTGAAACGCGTCTGAAATAAGCCTCAGAACCAAGGTTTCTTTCTGACTTTCCCCTGACCCCCATCTCTCAGTCCCCTCTCTTTCTCAAAGCAACTGAAGGGGCTTTGTCTGAAGTTCCCTTATCTGAATAAGGAAAGTTACTCCAAAATAAACACAACAGTCTTTTTTTAATTATTATTGTTTTTTTATAGATACAGGGTTTCACCATGTTGACCAGGCTGGTCTTGAACTTCTGACCTCGTGATCCACCCGCCTCGGCCTCCCAAAGTGCTGGGATTACAGGTGTGTGCCACTGCACCTGGCCAACACAATAGTCTTAAAACTTTCTTCCCTAGAAATCTTATCAGGTAACCAGGAAATATTAACCACTGGGAAGAGAAAAGGACTAAAAGTTATCACCATGCTTCAGTTCCGCGCTCTGGACAGGAATTATGGGTAGGAGACGGCACAGGGCGTCGCTGTGGCACTAGAAATCCCAAAGTCACAAGCCCCGCAGATCCGACAAGCCCCAACCATCGGCTACAGCCCGGGAGTCCGCGCAGGCGCCTCAAGGCCCCCTTCCGGAAAAAGGAGCTCAGTTCCGGCGGCGTTCAGCCCCGGCTCCGCCCTTTTTCCGCTCGACTTTCTTTGCCATTGGCTGACAGCGGAGTATATAAGGACGTCACTTCCTGCGGCCTGTCCTTTCCGCGCTACCCGCTGAGGGCTCCAAACGGCGTTGTTCACGGTGAGTTCGTTGTGACGACCCTCCCAAGGCCAGAAGAATGAGCTTTTTCTGCTCAAAGGAGGGGTGCGTAGAACAGTAATGAAAGCGGTCAGACCGGGTCTGTCTCTCGCTCGGCGCGCGCCACCTTAGGTCCTGCGGCCCTCGCGTGGCCGTGCTCGGGCCCGCGGATTTCCACGTTGCCGCAGGAGCTGGTGAGGCCGCACCCCATACTCGGAACTGGGGTTCCGGCCGGGCCGCGGGTGGCCGGGGGTGCAGAAGCGAGCTAACATCTCGTACCGCCATCCCTTCGGACCCCCGACACGGCGATGAGTCGAGGCTCAGGCGCTGATTTACACCAGCGACTTGGACTGGTCTGGCTTTTCGTTTGAACCGTGCAGGTCAGGAGTTAAGGTTCTTGGATTTTGAGACAAGTCGGGAGAGCACAACGAAGTAATCGCGAAGCAGCCGCCTGCAATCTGTTTGAAAATAACTGAAACCAGTTCATACATTTCTTTGCCTTTAGTTTGCATCGCCCAAACGTGGCTGCTCTTATTATATCTAGGTGTTAATTTGGCGCATCCGCAGATTTCCTTAACCCCTAAGAAGTGTTGAATTTGTATTCACTAATTTCGTCTAGGTTGGCTGGTTTGTTTATTTTGAGACAGTTTCAGTGGCGCGATCTCGGCTCACCTCAACCTCCGCTTCCCAGGCTCAAGCGATTCTCCTGCTTCAGCGTCCCTAGTAGCTGGGATTACAGGCGTGAGCCACCACGTCCCGATTAATTTTGTATTTTTAGTAGAGACGGGGTTTCTCCATGTTGGTCAGGCTGGTCTCGAACTCCTAACTTCAGGTGATCCGCCTACCTCAGCCTCCCAAAGTGCTGGGATTACAGGCATGAGCCACCGCGTGGGGCTTTCTCTGGGTTTATTATTTCCGTTATTCTGCCGTCCACACCATTTCCTCAGTAAGATGTGCTGCTGTTGTATAATACACGGCATGTATCTGTTAACATTAACGTTTTATTGTCTTAACCCCTTCACTACTCAGTGCTTGACACTGTAGCAGATGGAGTCCTTGGTTGTTTTTAAGGATGTATCCCTACCGCACTTAACTCACTGGAATGAAAAGAAATATATTGCTCTTTTCTTTCAGATTCCCGTCGTAACTTAAAGGGAAACTTTCACAATGTCCGGAGCCCTTGATGTCCTGCAAATGAAAGAGGAGGATGTCCTTAAGTTCCTGGCAGCAGGAACCCATTTAGGTGGCACCAACCTTGACTTCCAGATGGAACAGTATATCTATAAAAGGAAAAGTGATGGTTAGTCATTGCTTTAATTTTTTGTTATTCCAGCTGTAAGTACAAATTTTCACCTTGTTATTCTGATGGTTAGTTCTGGGTAATTTCTTGGTATCCTCTTGCTCAAATGAAGCCAGAACCCTAGGTTGAAAACATACTCCAAGTAAATGTTACTGGAAGAAAAGATTTCTGCTTCAGGGGAAGAAAACATCGGTTGCCTGTGTTGTGGGACTTGGGTTGGGTCGTGAATGTGACAAAGTTTATTAGCTGAGTGTGTGATGTCTCCCGTAGTGCGCTCAATTCATAGGTGCTTTTACAGCTATTGGACTGACTTGAGTGGAAAGTGGGGTAGGAGGTGGGAATAAACAATACGGCTTAGAAGAATCAGAAGAGGGATGGCATTAAGTTGGCTAAGACACTTATTTTAGAGAGAAGGCTACCGACCACTTGGGAGTGGCATTCTATAAAGGAGTTTGAGGACAAATCTTGCGTCAGTGCTGATGATAAAAGGGAGAGGGGCAGAAAGCCAGGAAGTGGATTCCCTGCCCCGCTTTTTTAATGTTCAGAAAGTGTATTTTTAAGAATCGCTGATGGACAGTAGGTACAGGCAAAGTAAAAGGAAAGATGGAATTAGCCAACTGACCAGGCTGCACACTGTTAAAGCTCGGGGTGGAGGCCTGTCTTGGCTCGTGAACTTCCGAGTGTCGGAGGTGTGCTACAGTAATGGCAGGGTGCTCGCTAACCCCAGTAGAGCTTGCCTCTGTGGCTGGAGTTTGGTAGGACTCGCTGCTACATACACTAAACTTCTGTGGAGAATGTTTTCACAGCAGGTCAAGTGTTAAAAGTCCTTCTGCCTTCACCTAGGCATCTACATCATAAATCTGAAGAGGACCTGGGAGAAGCTGCTTTTGGCAGCTCGTGCCATTGTTGCCATTGAAAACCCTGCTGATGTCAGTGTTATATCCTCCAGGAATACTGGCCAGGTTTGTGGAACAGTTTTTATATTAAAGAAATAAAGCTTACAGATATTGTGAGACATACAGAAAGGTAAAGAAAAATTATTCAGAGATCTTAAGTTGGACTGAGCCATAGAGATTAGAGATGTCCTTTTCCTTTTTAGAGACGGTCTTCCTCTGTTACCCATTGCCCAGACTGGAGTGCGGTGGTGTGATCTGAGCTGACTGCAACCTTTGCCTGCTGGGCTCAAACGATTCTCCTGCCTCACTCAGCCTCCCGAGTAGCTGGGATTACACCATGCGTAATTTTTGTATTTTTAGTAGAGACATGGTTTCACCATGTTGGCCAGGCTGGTCTTGAACTCCTGACCTCAAGTGACGCCCCCCCACCCCTCCCCCCGCGCCTTGGCCTCCCAAAGTGTTAGGATTATAGGTGTGAGCCACTGTGCCCAGCCTATATGACCTTTTCAACATACGTGTTGGCCATCTGGCACTATGTTGAACTTACTATTTTCATTTTGTATAGGCTTATGCCACTAAATATGTAGAAATTACCCCATTTAAGTGGTTTAACACATTTTTACATAATTGAGAGGCTAAGGCAGAATATCCCTCAAGTCTGGGAGTTGGGGTCTGCAGTAAAAATCTGGTCATGGGTCACTCATGCTTGTAATACAGGTACTTTGTGAGGCTGAGGCGGGTGGATTACTCTGGGCAAGGTGGCAAAACCTTGTCACTACTAAAATTAACAAAAACTAGCTGGGTGTGGTAGTGTGCACCTGCAGTCTCAGCTGAGGCTGAAGTGGGAAGATTGCTTGAACCCAGAAGGTCGAGGCAGCAGTGAGCTGAGACTGTGCCACTGCATTCCAGCCTGAATGACAGAGTGATGCTTTTTCTCAAAAAAAAAAAAAATGTGCCAACTCGAATGAAAAATACATTAATCTATGTTTTTGAAAAATGACTAGTTAATGGCCGGGCGTGGTAGCTCACGCCTGTAATCCCAGCAATTTGGGAGGCCCAGGTGGGTGGATCACGAGGCCCAGAGATCGAGACCGTCCTGGCCAACATGATAAAACCCTGTCTCTACTAAAAATACAAAAAATTAGCCGGGCATGGTGGTGGGTACCTGTAGTTCCAGCTACTCGGGAGGCTGAGGCAGGAGAATAGCTTGAACCTGGGAGGTGGAGGTTGCAAACGTGAGCCAAGCCACTGCACTCCAGCCTGGCGACAGTGAGACTGTCTCAAAAAAAAGGCTACTTAGTAGAACTTGAATCTTCTTTTGCCGCAGCTCCATTAACAGTCTTTCTGTTGAGAAAACTAGTGGATTTCTTGAATTGTGAGAGTTCTAACAGGGATTTCATTCATCTCAACAAGACAGATTTTAAAATTGTGTGGTAGGGGCTCTATTTCAGTGTTGACACGGCAGGTTCCTGTGAGTGTTTTTTGGAGGGTTATTCCTCGAACTGACTTGTTACTGGGACCACATAGTTTGGTACACAGTAGAAAAGGGGCAGTTTTCATTATTGCTGTAGAATGAACTGAGTGACAGTACTTCCTTGCTTGAGAAAAATATACTGAGCATCTAGATGGGACCAGACAGTATTGCTAGGTGCTTGGGATGTAGTAGAAAAACAAGACTGCCTTTTTTAATACATGGGGAAATCTCTGGAGAAGTAAGAGGTTAAGAAAAGCTGGTGTTGGCTGCTTTACATGGAGTAGTGGTGATTAAATTAGCCGGTGCCCAGAAGTGCTTCCTGGGTGCCAGGCATTGTTCTGTGTTAGGTGTATTTAATACTTAACTGTATGAGGAACTTGGAGGCCTGTGAATGTCTTGCTCAGTTTAACTCAAAAAGTCACCCATAGCCGGGCGCGGTGGCTCAAGCCTGTAATCCCAGCGCTTTGGGAGGCTGAGGCGGGTGGATCACGAGGTTGAGAGATCGAGACCATCCTGGTCAACATGGTGAAACCCCGTCTCTACTAAAAATACAAAAAACTAGCTGGGCGTGGTGGCGCGTGCCTGTAATCCCAGCTACTTAGGAGGCTGAGGCAGGAGAATTGCCTGAGCCCAGGAGGCGGAGGTTGCGGTGAGCCGAGAACGCGCCATTGCACTCCAGCCTGGGTAACAAGAGCGAAACTCCGTCTCAAAAAAAAAAAAAAAAGTCACCCATTTGGTTCTTAGAGCCTGGTAAGTGTGGTTCTGGAGCCTCCAGATATGAGGAAGCCAGTGAACCAGACACCTGAGGGAAGAGGGTGGGAAGCGCATTCCAAGCAGAGGGCCTAGAGGTGAGGGCATGTCTAAGGTGTTTTCTGGCTAGTTTTTAAAGTACTTTTCAGTTTATATAGAAAACAGAAGAATTCATGCTTTTAGTGTTTAATTTTGATGCTTGCATTTTTGGGGAAGTGGGTATTTGAGGGTTTTAGCCAGATAGGCTCTTGCATGTGGTTGCAGAACCGGGTGTCGGCATATGGGGAGTTGCTGTGAAGTGTCTCTGCAGTACTAACTTTTAATTCTTCAAAGAGGGCCGTGCTGAAGTTTGCTGCTGCCACAGGAGCCACTCCAATTGCTGGCCGCTTTACTCCTGGAACCTTCACCAACCAGATCCAGGCAGCCTTCCGGGAGCCACGGCTGCTGGTGGTTACTGACCCCAGGGCTGACCACCAGCCTCTCACGGAGGCGTCTTATGTTAACCTACCTACCATTGCTCTGTGTAACACAGATTCTCCTCTGCGCTATGTGGACATTGCCATCCCATGCAACAACAAGGTAACAATTTTATCTAGAGTTTGCGAGCGTGTGCTGTAGAACAACACTTCCTGTGCACATTGTTAGAGCTTGGAGTTGAGGCCAGTGACTGGCCGATGAACTCACAAGTGTAGGTAGTGTGCTACACGAGGGGCAAGTTTTTCGCTAACACCATGAGGGTCTCTGGCCCGATGAGTGGAGTTTGATAGTAATTCTTGCTACAGTATAACATTACTGCATGACAGATTTCTGGAGAGATGAAAACGTTTGGAAAACAGTGTGTTTTCTTCTGCCTTTGTCCATGTTTCTTGCTCAGGCCTCTCAGGCACTTGGCCTTTCTGTTTTCACACCAACTTGATGGGTTCTACTATAAGATTCTAAAAAGGTGGGTTATGTGGTTCAAATTGGTTGATTTGTTATGTTCTGAAAACCCTCTTGTGCATAATTGCCCAGAGGTTTTTTGGTTTTTTTGTTTTGTTTTGTTTTTTTTTAATGCTAGTGTCCAGGCATTTCTCCCAGGGATCTCATTTTGTTGTGTGGGGTGACGTCCTGAAAACTGTATGGCTTTTTTTTTTAATCCCTGTGATTCCAGTGTGCAGGCGAGGTTCCTTGTTACAGTTGTTTTTAAACTAAGATGGCTGTACTTTTGGCACCTACCTAGATGATGTAGGATCCAGGAGGGTGCTTGCTGTTCGGGTTTGACCAAGTGTCACTTGTTAATAATCTGTCACTCTTGGCAGGGAGCTCACTCGGTGGGTTTGATGTGGTGGATGCTGGCTCGGGAGGTTTTGCGCATGCGTGGCACCATTTCCCGTGAACACCCGTGGGAGGTCATGCCTGATCTCTACTTCTACAGAGATCCTGAAGAGGTAAGCTTTTCCAGAGGCCTGTGGTTACATAAGCAAATTGGACAACTTGGTCTGTGCTTCTAGGAAGCAAAATTTGTCAGTTCCTATAAGTCTCTCTCATCCCCCCTTTTTTTAATAACCAGATTGAAAAAGAAGAGCAGGCTGCTGCTGAAAAGGCTGTGACCAAGGAGGAATTTCAGGGCGAGTGGACCGCTCCCGCTCCTGAGTTCACTGCTACCCAGCCTGAGGTTGCCGACTGGTCTGAAGGCGTGCAGGTGCCCTCTGTGCCCATCCAGCAGTTCCCCACTGGTATGTATCAAGATAGAAGTGCATCACGGTGATATTTTGCAACTTCCCAGTTTTGTTCTAACTTAAATGACCTCTGGCTTTTTTTTTTTTTTTAAATAGAGGTGGGGTTTCACCATGTTGGCCAGGCTGGTCTTGAACTCCTGACCTCATGATCCACCCATCTCGGCCTCCCAAAGTGCTGAGATAACAGGCGTGAGCCACTGTGCCCGGCCTGACCTCTGGCTTTTATACTAGCATTAAGAGGTTTTCATCCTAGCATGCTATAGCATCTGTTAGATTGCTGTTGGGAGTGGGGCAAGGAAAATCCTACTTTGAGGACAGCGCTGATGGCTTTTTTGGTATTTCTTAACAGAAGACTGGAGCGCCCAGCCTGCCACGGAAGACTGGTCTGCAGCTCCCACTGCTCAGGCCACTGAATGGGTAGGAGCAACCACTGAATGGTCTTAAGCTGTTCTTGTGTGGACTCTTAACATACAAGATTCATGGAAAATAAACACCGAGTTTCTAAAAGTTGTGTTCGTTTGTTTTGGTTTTTTATTCCAGATCAGAATACCTGGGATTTCATACCAAAGAATAACAATAAATATATGTCTTCACATGAATTGTACTTCTAAAGTTCACTGTAGTGTATATTGCCTTTCACTTGAGAGTTTTCCTGAACTTCCTTTCTGTGTAGAGAACATCTGTCCTGAAAATAGATGTAAGTGGTTACATGTATTTAAGTGGCCACTTCAGGAATATTTTTCCAAATCCCTGATAATGTTGACTTTTATTACCATCAGTGTAGGTAAATTCTGTAGAGCTAAGGTTTTTATTTATTTTTGAGACAGTGTTCCTCTCACTTAGGTTAACTATTCCTGGAAGCCCTGGAGAGGCAATGGCCCTTCCCCACGTTGAGAGACATTCATTGCCCCTCTTGTCAGCTTGCCTACAGGTTCTGT